CATTACGTTGCTGATTCACCAGACGTTCAGTAGCACTTCGTGCTGCATGGACGAACTCAACGATCCCAGAGCAAAGGGAAGTTAGTCCTGTGAGAGAGTTCTCAGGAATTGAAGGAACAGACAGATCTCTCGACTCACAGATTCGAGAGGGCTGTACCTCAATGGAAGATCGATCGATGGAGAGAAGGGCCGTTCGATCGCGAGGACGGCCACCAGCTAGTTTTTTGAATGATTGGATGAGTTGACGCCACTCTTGGGACCTCTCTCCTGGCGAACCGGAGATCTCCTTCGTTGCCTCTTTGGGGAAGGATAGTCCGAGCGGGACTTTCCCGAATCATCCACATCAAAGAAGGATCTTGGGCGGCTAGGATGACGAAAGGGGCCCCGATTTCCTCGCCGACAATTACCTCGCTCGTAGAAGATGCAGACCTCATCAGTATGACTTCCTACATCCTTCCCATAAATGTGATCTTTGTCTTCCAAAATTCCCAGCTGCGCACCAACATATAAGGAGGGCGCAAGGTCGTTAGTCAGAACTTGAGATATGCTGTGCCCTGCTTCATGAAAGGCTGTCAGTTTCGACCGGTAGGAATGATCGAAGAGAATAGCAGAACGCGGGGACTTCTCCTCAGCCAGGGAGACTACTCGAACCAAATAAGAAAGCATACCGAGAGGATTCACCACCTGATTGTCAGGTTCCACCATGAGCAATGCCATGCACCACTTGGCGAAGCCCTCAACCCCCTGTGCCAACGTGTTGATCTTCTTGACCTTCCCAATCCTGACCGCTGCCATCTTACCGGTATTGATATCTTCAAGATGCTTCACTTTGGTATTGTTAGGAGAGGAAGATGATGTGCCGAGAAATTCTTGAACTGGAATGTAGTCGTAAGGTGCCTTCCCGACCTTAGCAATCAAACTTGTAGGAGGCATAATGTTAGTGGGAAGCTCGACCTTCTTGCCAAATCTGTGGCGAAGGTTGTCCCGGTAAGACGCTAGATCATTAGCCTCTTTCTCTTGCTCCTGCCTGCGACGCTTGGCTGTACGCCAGGCCTTGGCCTCCTCAACCAGTGAGACCAGATGTAGTTTAAAGAATTGTTGTTGTTCAGCTGGGATGCGACCAGTCATACGTGTAACAGTTTCTTCACCGACATTGGCCAGCAACATAATAGAATATATCTTTTCCTCGATCAGCTGGGTAACCATGAGATCTTTGATCGCTTGGTCAATATTCTCACCATCTAGTAGAGGATCTAGTAGATTCTTGGTAACAGTCTCCTGCTGATTAGCCATAGGAAAAAAATTGGTGGAAACAAACCGTGCCTACACCAATACATTAATAAAGTGTAGACAAAGACAGAAAGACTTCACATCTTAGATTCCAGCTTGATGTACTCAATCGTGACGTACTCATCCTTGTTCATAGCGTCACACAGACCAGGGGGACAGGATAGTTGTGTCAGAGGAGTGCTTCGCACTCCCCATAATTGTGGGGCTCCACTGAGACGCATTTTACGTCTGCTAATGGATTAACTCCGGTAGTCGGGCTCAGGAGATGAGTGGTGAAGACTACGGTGAAGGTCGTAAAGTACTCCTGCATACTAGAAGAATTGGGGGTATCAATGTGGACAACAAGCTGGCAGATGTCTGGCAAGCTGGTTGGTGGATCCTACACTCCCCGTCCGCTCAGTACCCCAATACGGTGATTATCACCGACGGTGAGGCAAAGCGTTGGGTTAATCTGCGTTATGTGAAACCCGATAAGCCACAGTGTTCAACCAATAAGACCAAAGCCCAAATAGTAGAGAAGAGCAACCATGAATCAGTAGCAGCAAGTCCAACTCATGAAGTTGATGTTGAAGCAAGTACAGCTAGAAGTGATGAAGAGCAGATAGAAGATGCTTTAGCCGATAGAGAAGAAGATCAGTCGCCGTTAAGAAGAAGTACAAGAGTTAAGCAGCCAGTGAGAAGATTGAGTATTGGTCTGGACAATACCACAAGCTATGGTGATAAGATTGTTGTTAGTCGGAGTCGTATGTTTGATATGATAATTTTCTTTGTATGTGATCACCTCACTCATGAAAAGAGGAGGAATAGTTGGAGGATAAGTATCCTAGCATACAAAGTATGTCTGTCCCCATTGTGCCGTTTGTATCCTAGCTTAGCTTTGCAATGTATTAGTGTTACATAAGTAGTAGACTGAAGTTGGATCATCACCGTGATCTACTGTTGAGCTAGTCTGACGACTTCTCTACACCGATGAATGGCAAGGGATGGAACGGCGTTTTACGAACGCCGCTACCGTAATTTATGGTGAAGGCGTTCTTGAAACGCCGTTTCATCGACGGCTACCACAAGGCCATGGCTATCGCGGTGCCATATCGCCAGATGCGACATTCTCAATGAAGAATTTCGTCATCCCACGAATGCTGTCACTCTGCCTAACACGATAAGACAAGAAACGGTAAATATAAGAGAAAGTTTCTGCCAGAGACTGGGCATAAAATGCTCATGTTCATTCAGCCACGGAAGCATGTAAGTCTAGGGTGTGGAAATACAACCCTCGAGCTAGATCAGTCGCATTGCGGCAAACGTGGAAACAGGAGTCACTCCTGAGGAGTAGTGCAACAGCTTGCAATGCAAGTTTTGCATGTGCAGGCAACGTTGGCAGGTGGAGGCTCTCCACTGGAGGGTCACAGTACAATACACAGTGTACATGTGTACACA